AAAGCCCCCTGTGGGCTAGAGGACCGAATTCTGCTGATCCTGAGCCATAGGGAGATTAGGAGAGGTCACAAGTGTTGGGAAGTCAGGGCACAAATCTGTCTTGGCCTGTCGATGGTTTCCCCCCCCACTAGAGTTCTGTTGTTTTTTTTAAAAAATGCTCTCACTAGGGTTTTACACTTTACTGTCTTAGTGAAATGTTCAGTGTGGGACTTAGCTGGGAAGAACCATGGTCAGGTGCCATTGCTTCCCTGGGCTGTGGGCAAGTCATCTTAGAGTAGTGGGGGTGATAGCAACGGTGGTGACCTAATCCTCTGGTCTGCACTGTCAGGCCCTGTTGCAAGTGCTTGGAGGATTGTCCTGTAGGTCTCACTTCCTGCCTCTGAGATGGGTACTGGCATCCGCCCCTTTCACAGATGAGCAAAGTGGGGTCCAGAGTGGTTCAGCAATTTGCCAAGCTTGGAAGTGGCACACTGGATTGGGAATGAGGGCCTGGAGGGGGTGGCCAGCCTGGTGTGCTGTGGGTCTGTGGCCCTAGATGAGAGGCAGAGCCCTGGCCACAGAGGCTTGACACCAGGAGCTCTGGAGCCCCTGGGACCAGGGTTCTGTCCCCGAAGCCAGATCCTGTCACTGTCAAAGTGTAACCGCAGGGATCCGGGGCCCAGAACCTGCCTGGCCAGCCATTGCCCCAGGGGCAGTTCACAGTCAGGCTGGCACCAGGCACCTGCTCTTCCTGTTTGATAGGTGAGAGAACTAAGGCTGGGCAGTAGGTTTGAAGTCCGGCTCTGCTTCTTCGGAACTGTGACCTTGGGCAGGTGACTGACACTGTCAGTGATGCCTCAATTTTCCCATTTGTAAAATAGGATCCTTAGTTTCACCTCCCTCAGTATCAGGTAAGGCAGGGGTCAGAATCTGCAACAATTGTAAATAAAGTTTTATTGGCACACAGCCACGCCCATTCTTTTATGTCTTTGGCAGCCTTCACACTATAATGGCAAGGTTGAGTAGTTGTGATAGAGACCATCTGTCCTGGCCAAGTCTAAGATTTATTTACTACCTGGCCCTTTGCAGAGAAAGTTTGCCCGCCTTCTTGTATGAGGGATTAGGTGAGCGTGAATCCTCAGGAGGCACTGTGGATGGTGCCTGGATGAAATTAAAGTTTAATGAGTGATAAGTATAATAACTATTATTCTGTTACTGTCACTATTGTTATTAAGGTGGAATTATCTACAGAAAGTCACAGAGCTTCTTAATGGGTGAAAAGAGACTTGAACTCGGGGATGGGAACTTTGCCTCCATGGTGTAGAGAGTCTTGCCTCTTTGCGCCCTTTCATGGCCGGGGCAATGACAGCCAGTCAGAGCACACTTTGCTTGTGGGAGACTGAGGCACAGGGGCCCGGTGTGGGGGAGCCCAAGCAGGGGTCCCTTCTCAAACTTTCCATAGGCACAGCACCCAGTTACCCCCTTTCCTGAACTCCCAACAGACTGCAAGCCCCACTCAGGTGGGGACTGTGTGTCTCCTTTGTGACGGACTTAACTACCAGACCAATAATAATCATAAAAATAAAAAAATTATACTAACAAGAAGGAAGAGGCAGTGGCTGCTTCTTACACCATGCCCGTTCTGTGCCAGACACAGTGCTAATGTAATCCTCGGATCAACTTTGGGAGGTTGGGCTACTCTTATCTCACATGACAACTGAGGGAACTGAGGCACAGGGAG